ATAAGGATCTGCTGAGGTGGGCCTGTAGTTAAGGGAGGAGGAATTGAGAGGCACGCTTGACCCCCGCTGAAAGAAATATTTGCTTGCAGCTTGTGGAGCAAGTCCCATTCCAGGAGTGGATATGGACACTCAGGGATGACCAAGAATGAATGGGTGACAGTGCCATTTCCCAGATCAATGAATCGATTTGTGGTCCAGGGGCTAGTTGTGGTTTTTCCTAGAGTGCTGCTATTACTGCCTTAGTAACTTTTTATCTTGCGTGGCCTCTAAGATGTCTCTAGAGTTAAAGACTTTTTGGGCAATTTTTAACAACTGAGTTAAATTTATTCTCTGGAACCTCTCTAATTTGTGCAATTTTCTTTTTATGTCTGGGGCAGACTGGGAAACAAGCCAAATTGATGGCCCGCTGATTGTCCGGGCCTCAGGGTAATAGGCATCCAGTAAGCGCTCAAGGAAAGCAGCTAGCAGCTCCTGTGGACCCTGAGTTACAGTTCCTACCTCGGAGAGTTTAGTGGACTTGTGGGCCACTCCCCTAACCCCTTCTATAAGATACCGGTGAAAAGTGTTCAGAGCCTGGTGACCCCTCAAGGTGTTGAGGTCCCATTGGGGTCAGGTAAAGGGAAAAAAACTTTTTCCTTGCCCTGGACCTATGATGGCTTTCAGGGCTTCCTGTCTAATTTTGCCTTTTTCCTCTGTGGTGAACAGAATTCGTAATAATTGTTGGCAGTTGTCCCAAGTGGGGCGATGCGTCTGGAGTACAGATTTTAAGAGTCCGGTCAAAGCCTGGGGCTTTTCAGAGAATGGGGGATGTTGAGTTTCATTGTAAAACCTCGGCAACGTCACCGCCTTAAATTCCCCAGCCTCCCAGCACTACCCCCTCCCAGGGAACTTTCCATCTTGTCAGGTACCTAACCCTCCCCCTCTCGCCGTCTTAGCAGCTCTCCAGTACAACACCCTCCCGGGAACTCTTAGCAGTTCTGCAGTACAACCCCCTCCTGGGAACTCTTAGCAGTTCCCCAGCACTTCCCTCCTGCACAGCCCCTCACACTGGATGCATCTCTGCCAGCTTGCAGGCCATAGAAATCCCCTTTGCCATGCCATGGGTGCTGCCAATTTTGGGTTTAGCCTGGCAGCTTTCTCTCGCTCATAATAAAGCTCATGCCAGCACTTGGTGATTTGGCCCTCTCTTTGATCTCTGTCACCTTCCAGTTATATAAGTTACTTGACAAGACGGGGATGTGAACAAAGAATGGGCGACCCCGATTGTCTTCTGTTGGGGGTGCCTCTTGGAAAGGGGAGGACTGCCGGTGGGTGCGGGGGCCCTGCTACGGGTGTGCAGGGGGGACAAGGTTTGGTTAATAGTACTGTTGAGGGGGTTGCTGAGGCGCTGGTTTAGAGGGCCTTGAGTAGGGTGGAAGTAATTCCTGATCCTCCGCTTGGGTAGGGAGAATGGCTGGTCCAGAAGGGACTTTCTTTTGGGCCGGCTAATGTGACCTGAAGTTTAGCCTGTTTTATGCAGCGCTTTAGCCATGGGGGAGGCCATTGGACTAAACCCAACCATTGGTCGATGTATGGAAACTGTTCAGGGTATCCAGGAGTTTCTGCAACCATTTTCCATACAGCCTGGGTAATTTTGGGGTCATAGGTCCCAGTATCTGGCCACCTAATTCCAAAAGACGGCCATTCAAGTTCACACAAAGAGCGGAGTTTTCCAGGGGTTCATTTCACCCCATATTGGCCTGAGAACCCAACCTTGAAGTTGGCCATCATGCATTGGAGGGGGATACAAGGCCAGGAGCTAGACGACCCCATTTGTGCGTTTTTTAATGCCAAATTTTCCTCAAGAAAATTCATTAATTTAAAACTGATTTCCCTAATTTAAAACTGGCTTCACTGAGGATTTGAACCAACAACCTTGCAATTGCAGGCCCCACACCTTAACGACTGTGAGGACAAGTCACTTTTGTTACAAAGAGTTAGAAAGCTTTTCTTTTCTTTTTTTTTTGAGATGGAGTTTCACTCTTGTTACCCAGGCTGGAGTGCAATGGCACGATCTTGGCTCACCGCAACCTCCGCCTCCTGGGTTCAGGCAATTCTCCTGCCTCAGCCTCCTGAGTAGCTGGGATTACAGGCACGCGCCACCATGCCCAGCTAATTTTTTGTAGTTGTAATAGAGACGGGGTTTCACCGTGTTGACCAGGATGGTCTCGATCTCTTGACCTCGTGATCCACCCGCCTCGGCCTCCCAAAGTGCTGGGATTTACAGGGGTGAGCCACCGCGCCCAGCCTAGAAAGCTTTTCTTAAAGCCAGATCCTGGATGCAAATGCTGCACCCTGAGGCAGTGTGGCCTGCCTCAAAGCTGGGCGGGGCTGACTGCCGGCAGAGAAAGGAATAAAAAAAAAAAAAAAAAAAAAAAAACGCTCTTAGTGTCAGTTTAAAACTGAACTTGCTGGCGGCGAGTTCTCCACCCCGTGGCTTCTGGTCCCTTTCTCTCTCTCTCTCCTCTGTCTCCTTTCTTCTCTACTTTCTCTCTTTCTCTTCTGTCCCCTTTCTCTCCTCTCTTTCCTCTCTCCTCTGTTTACTTTCTCTCTCCTCTCTTTCTGTCCATTTTTTTCTTTCTCTCTTTTTTTCTCTTTGCCTTTTTTTTTTTCTATCTTTCCCTCCTTCTCTTCTCTTTTCTCCTCTCCTCCCTTCCCTACATTCTCTTTCTATGGTAAAGCCAATTTTGGAAAGCCCCATATTTAAAATTTGGCCCTCTTTAAAGCAGGTTTTAGCAGGGCCTCTGCAGCCAGGTGCTGCAAGGACCAGACAACTGAATTTTAGGGTTTATCCCTAGTCCTAGTCAGAGGAACAGGGGGTAGGGGCCAAGGTGAGGCGGCGGTTTTTTCCCCCCCGCAAGCCACAACTGGCGAGAATAAGCACTATGGAGGTTTAGCGCTGCCGGGGCATAATCCTCCCCCTTATAAATTTTTAATGGCCAGTTGCTTCAGAAAGGTCGGGAAGTGACAAAAAGGTGGACTAAGAGGTCTACCGGATGTGTGTTTTGGACCCACCACACCCAGTAGAGTGTGCAGAAGTGCTGCCAGTCAGTTTTTACTGGGGTGGTGACATCCTACCTCCCAACATCCAGGATAGTGCCAATATGCCTTTCTTTGATGCACCGTTGGGCACTGCCCATAACATTGGACACTTTCCTGGCAGAATAGGCAGTTACCTATTTTCCATCCCAGCCTGAGAAAGAGCACCCGTAAACTCTGATCTAGGGTTTTGTTCCACACAAGCTCCAAAGAAACTACCTCCAAGGTGTCAAGGGCACAACGGCCTTCCCGACATGGAATCTGACCCAGCACGGGCAAAAGTACTCTTTTCCCGGTGGAGGTGGCTGGGAGAATTTACAGGCCACAATGACCAAAACAAGGAAGAGAATAAAGACAACTAGAGTTAAGACTATCTGCCACATGGCAAAGGAAGAAAGAGTGAGGCCTCAGTGATAGATGAAGAAGAAGATGAAAAAGAAAGAGAAAAGAGTAATTTCTGCTGGGGTGTAATCAATAAAATTTCCCTGCATCCAGTGGTTCGTCAACCACTGTAAGATATCTCCTACCTCAAGGGAAGATGGCCTGAACCAGTGTATGTCTGCTAGCAGGAGTCTAATAAAAGTGACAAATTTACAGACGAGACAGGACCACATATAAAAGAGTGACAGACAAAGGGTGGGTGCCCCCCAGATGGGAGACCACTCAGATGCCTGCCCGGCCACTTTCCCGGAAGAATTTTCAGGGGCGCCTTGGCTAAGGTGTGCCTGTATAATCCCCGGGCCTGATCACCTCAGGATGGAAGTCCAAGTAGGACAGCTCTGAGATGAATCACCGTTATGCCCTACGACGCTCCAGTGGAACCGCGGGTGAAGGCCCACACAAGCCCTGTAGTCTTTCAGCCATGGGACTACACATATACACACACACTCTCTCACTCACACAGAGGTTACAGAAAACAACCGAATGCTGCCACCCACTATGCCAGCTACCAGAAGGTGAACACTGGTACCCACTGCACCGGCTACCAGAGGGCTGCCACCCACTATGACAGCCACCAGAAGGCGAACGCTGGTACCCACTGCACCAGCTACCAGAAGCTTCAAGTGATGTCTCGGTGAGGCTTGCCAGGTCAGAGTTGCAATGACTCATCAGTCCCCCGACTCAGGCCCTTCCTTTGAACTAGTTCCCAGACCAGACTTACCTCCGGAGATTTTTTTTTTAGGACCCTGAGGAATTTCGGGTGAATGTTGGCTGAGAGGTCGCTTATCCTCCATGGTGGCACTCCGGGACCCTGGGAAAGAACAGGGGGCGCCTCCCCAGAGGCCCCCGAGGTAGGAGCGGCCGTCCGGGCAAGACTCTGAGATGGCTTTTGTCTGGTGATAACAAAAAGAGAATATCTCAGTGGGACCTCCAAATGGTGTACTGGATCAAGCGTAGAAAGTTAGCACCAAGATAAAAGTATGCCAGATTGCAGGATCATTTGTTATGCTGGCGACCACAGAGGACTCACGTCTCTCCAACCTGTGGCATCGAAAGGAGGGTGCCAAGACTTTTTATACCCGAAAAACCACCTTGGGAATGGGGGTGAGGTGCAGGGATGGGGATGAAAAGGTTTCAGACATTCCAAGGGCCAGGGGATTCTGTAATTCACCTCCTGGGCGGAGACGAGGGTGGGGGTCTCCGGACATTCCAAGGGCCAGGGGACTTTTGTCATTCTGTTTGTTACTTCAGTGGTTTACAGAAGTCAAGATAAGCATTTGTTTACACACAGATCTTAGTTATCCTGGGCTGCTTATTTTAGTTATTACCGGTAAGCAAAGGCTAGCAATTCTGGCACAATGTTACATTAGACTACCACTGTTTCTGGCACATGGGTACCAGGTAAATGGCATTTGTTATTGTTTATGTCCATGTGGCATAATACTCCAGTGGCATTCACATAAACAACTTCATCTTCTGCAGGGAGCTGGCTAATGAATGGTGCTTGATGACAGATGAGTAATGCCTGTTGCTTAAAGATTGACAGTATGAGGCAAGACTCCCATTGCTACTTTAGAGGAATTGAGATTGACCTACCCATAAATTCAGACAATGTCTTGAAGAGACTTTGGGAACAAGATATTCAGGCACATTCCACTGTTAGATTCACAGGGTGCCAGCCATTGATCTTTCCCTTTGTGGTAAGTCTGTGTTGATGCTCCTTTGAGACCCTGCTTTAACCAGTCTGTGAACAGCTTGTCTTGTGATGAGGGTTTAGAGTCTAAGTGGCTGTGCTTTTGAAATACCTAGGAGGGACTAAATTAGATATGAATAGTCTATGGTCTAAATCCTGGGATTTGGGAAGGAGGGTGAGTATGCATGCTTTTGTGGAAGAGGTTCTGTTTAATCACATGATGAGTTTTATCATTTTTGGCAAATAAGGAAAATGTTAACTTCTTTGGACTTTTTTTTCTTTATAAAATGGGATTGTGAAACTCTCTCTCTCTTCTCCTGGTCATCAAAGCCTGAAGCATATTTTCTTGCTTCAGGTGAGATAGGCTGCTCAGGCATTTTATTGTAACAATGTGTGTGTGTCCACTTAGCATTAGTATGAGGTGGCTCTTCGGCTTGTGAGTACAGAAGCTATTGGCAGCCTGGATTCTCAGGTTTTACTTCTTCTCAAGATCATCTCTTTCAAGACTTTTTCTATCTTCATGAGGCAAAATTTGAAGAGGAGAGGGTGGTGGCTGGGTGGTTGACAAATTACTCTCAGGTAAGTAGGAAATTGTTAGGTACCAGCCCCAGTCCTGTTCATGGGTGCCCTTAGTCCTGGCAGTGACCAGGGATTGAGAAAAGGAAATAAACACGAGTAGAATTTTACAGCATGGGTCCAGGGGACCAACACAAGCATGGGGACTGCGTTGGCACCGAGTTCTGGGTTCCACAGGGTATTATTGGGTGCATACACTTGTTAATTGAGGGGTGGGGGAGATGGGGTGATCGGGGAGGCCTTGAAACTATTGGGTGAGGCCTTGAGACTAATGTGGGCAAGATAGCCAGGGAGAGAAGTTTGGTCTGCAGTATTTAGTAGCAGATGTGATTATTATGCAAACCTGGAACCTGAATTCTACCACCAGTTGCTGTCAAGGTGCATTTGCATCAGAAGCATAGCGCAGAAGGCACCACCAGGTCTGACAACACCCAACACATTGAGGGGCTTTTATCTCCCGGGAATTGCAGACACAGAGCAATCAAAATTACCTTATATTCTGAGAACCTAGGCAGAGCTGGTGGCATTCTGGTAACCTCTGCTCTGCTAGGCTTTTCTTCCTTGTAAGCTGCCATGTGCAAAGACCCTCCCGGATCTTGTGAGCAGAGGTCGCCTCCCTTCTTTCTCAAAGATCTTGCATAAGCCCTCTTTACGAGACGCTCATGTAAACTCTATGTTGAGGTGGCATTTGTGGGACCAAAGCCGTATTTCCTGCTCTGCAACCACACCATGGTGTTCCACGGTTTTACAGCGCTCTGAGATGGTCTTTACCTTAGGCGTCCTGTTGCTGCTTGATTTCTGTTTTACTGCACCAATATTTGATATAGCTTAGTTGGGAGTACAAACTTCAGTGTACGATAATCAAAGCAAACTTATAATTATTTAGCTAGAAATAACATAGGTCTGCCCCTGCCCATCTTGACCCACAGGAAATTGATTTTTCTGTAGGAGCATATGCTTCTTCCTACCAAGTAGATAGATTTTCTGCTAGTGGAACAGGGCTTCTGCAAGCAAAGAGGGTCTGCTTAGGGACTATGTATCTCATCACACCTCTTGGGACCACAGTGCCTCTTACGTGGTTAACAGATTTCACAGGGAAATGATCCTATTGTCTCAGTGTTTACTCAGTCTGACTCCCATCCACATTGACTGTGCGCTTTCATTTTGCTGTGATAGAGAGGGAGAGAATAAACATGTGTTATACTGGCCCGAGCATAGAAAGTCAACACCAAGACAAAATTATGCCAAATTGCAGGGTCTTTATTGCCTGTGGCCACGGAGGACTTGTGTCTCTCCAACCCGTGGCCCTGAAAGAAGGGTGTCAAGACCCTTTATACCCGTAAAAATCACCTTGGGAGTGAGGGTGAGGGGTGGGGGTGGGCGTGAGGGGCTTCAGACATTTCAAGGGCTAGTGGATTCTGTAAATCACCATCTGGGCGGAGATGAGGGTTAGGGGGTTCCAGACATTCCAGTGGATTCCTGGGCGAAGATAGGGTGGGGGGCTCCGGACATTCCGAGGGCCAGGGGACTTTTTGACATTCTGGTTGTTACTTAAGTGGTTCACAAAAGTCAGGATTAGCATTTGTTTACACATTGTCTGGGTAAGATGGCGATTATAGCCCTTAATTACTTTTTCACATTTGGGTTATAGAGAGCAGTTTCAACAGAAAGCCGAGGTATGGTTGAGGTGTGCAGTTTTATGGGGCTTTTTACCATGTCACACATGTGCTTCTCAAAATTTGTGTTGTCACTGAAGCATTTATTTGAGTGTCTATAATGTATTCAGGATTGTGCTAAAACCTGTCAACAGACAGAAATAAGAACTCAGAATCTAGTTATGCTGAGATACATTCAGTTAGGTGAAAATGGTGTTCTTCGAGCCATGTGAATAGATGAGATCACCAGTGAATATTTACAGACAGAACAAAATGAGGACCATCAGCTGGGTGCAGTGGCTCACGCCTGCAATCCCAGCACTTTGGGAGGCCAAGGTGGGCAGATCACGAGGTCAATTTGAGACCATCCTGGCCAACATGGTGAAACCCTGTCTCTACTGAAATATACACACACACAAAATTAGCTAGGCATGGTGGCACATGCCTGTGGTCTCAGCTACTCAGGAGACAGAGGCAGGGGACTCGCTTGAACCCAGGCAGTGGAGGATGCCATGAGCCAAGATCGTGCCACTGCACCACAGCCTGGGTGACAGAGCAAGACTCCGTCTCAAAAAAAAAAAAAAAAAAAAAGGACCGTCAAGTGATAGAAGACCACAGAATCTTGTCAAGGCATGCCAAGGCAAGGTCCCTCATTATCCAGTGAACATGGGGGAGAATGTACTTGCCTGGTTCCAACATGTGTGTGATGGTTTAGGACTCAGTGATCTTTGAGGAAGTGGCTAAGGACTTCACCCCGGAGGAGTGGACTTTACTGGATCAAACTCAGAGAAACTTATACAGAGATGTGATGCTGGAGAACTACAAGAATCTGGTTGCAGTAGGTAAGAGTGGTACCATTTTTTTCATTTTGTTTTTTTTTTGTTTTTTTTTTTTCTGGAACAAATATGTCTTAAGTAACTATATTCTAGACTCTCTGAATGTTAATGGCCCTGAAATGGTAAACAGGCCAAATACTGTTTTCGTCTCATAGACGTTACTGCCTAGTGATTTTTCTGATGAAATCAAAGACCTGTTCATTGCTCTGGCTTTGTTTTTTCCATGGATGAAAGACTTAGAGCTTCTTGAATATGTATACGAGCTTGAGCCTGTGTTTCATGGGAAGGATTGCTAGTCCTTATGGTACAGAGTGAAAAAAGAGTATTTGCAGTTTAGGTTAATTTAAAAGTTTTTGTCATGAACATCTTGTTGTTTAAATTATACCTGAGAGCATTCAGAGTGCCCAAACAGTGAAATCTGGGCCCTTTAGTTATGGAAGTATTTGTTATCCCTTGCACATTCTTACATCATTCATCTTTCTCTGAGAGCTGTGCAAATACGGTTTTACTTTTCACATGAAACAAGAAGCATTAAAGACAGTGGAGAAAATTCTCCAAGATAAAAGACAGATGTGATTATTTGTGTGATATAGCCCTCATCTATGAGAGGTACAGTCTGTTTAAAAATGTTAAGTAGGAAGGTTTTGAAAGTGTACTTTTTTGGAGAGAATATCAAGGCCATTTGGTTGCTGAGATTTGTTGGGTACCTTAACTTCTCTTTCTCTTTCATTTTTCATCTATCTTGGAAACTTTCTTGTGACCTGATGGTAAGATCTGTCTCATTTCTTCTTTACATGTATGATTTGCATATAGCTCTGTATCCATTTTCTTTCTACTTTGTTTATCTGGCTGTACCTCTTTTTTGTTCACTATGAAGTCTCAATGTTTGGAGAACCATTTCTTAGTGAATCACCTACCAGCTTGACTTTAGTACCTTACTGTTGCTAGACTCTTATTGCATCCAAATTTCTCAGTTTCTGGTTCCCTTTCTTTAAAAACGAAACAACAACAACAACAAAACTGTTTTAAGATGGTGTTTGAAAGTACAGTACACACTACTCTTGCATTTCTGACACCCTCTTTTCAATCATTATTTTTCTAAGAACTTAAAATTGTTTTTTATCTGATTTCAGATTGGAAGATTCATATTAATATCAAATGGACAGCACCTCAGCAGAATTTTTTTCAGGGGAAACATCCAGTATGGTGGAAATGGTAAGATTCAGAAGTTATAATTTCTTGCCTTACAAGTTAGAGGAAGATTGGAAGCTCCATAAAATAGAAAAGTAGCACAATAACCTTGAGACATTTGAGACTCTTGTTCTTCACCCGAAAATAATCTGTCTCTTGCAGAGGCTGTGGATCATGAGTTTGACAAGCGCTCTAAACATCCCTCAGAATATATTTGTTTACATGTTTCCTTCAACTAAATATTCCCATATAGATATCTTAGATGTTTTTGATAAATAATTCGCTCTTGGGCAGTTATCAGATAAACTCCTTAGAAGCCGTGTGAAAGTAAAGAATATAACAGAATTTTCTGCAGTCACTTTGTTTCACTTGAAAGCACTCAGGTCTGAAACATGCATTGCAATGAAAATGGCAGGAACAAACAAAGCATTTCAATTATACTAATTTTCTGAGCATAACAGAATTCAGAGTAAAAGGGAGAATCTCTGAATGAAATAAATTTAGAAAACCTGTATGAATCATCATTAATTTTCATCAACAGGAGAGAAACCACTTTGGAGAGAAACTGTTTGACTTTAACCAATGTTAAAAAAACCTTGAGTGAACGCTCATGCCTTAAGACTCACAGGAGAACTTACTTTAGAAAAAAAGCCTGTGAGCATAATCAGTGTGAAAAAGCCTTCACAAAACCCTCTACCTTTACTTTACACAAGAAGACTGATATTGGAGAGGAACTTCCCAACTGTAATCAATGTGAAACAGCCTTCAGCCACCATCTACTTGTCTGCAGGAAAACTCACACTCGAGAAACCATATTAATGCAGTGACTGTGAAAAAGGCTTACCTTCCTCGTCACACCTTAGAGAATGTGTAAGAATTTATGCTGGAGAGAGACCAGATACTTGTAAGGAGTGTGTCAAAACCTTTTCTCATTCTACAGGCCTTTTCGTACACATGCAAACTCATGATGGAGAAAAACTCCATGAATGTAAAGCATGCGGGAAACCCTTCACTCAGTCTTCATATCTTACTCAGCATTTAAGAATTCATAGTAGAGTGTTACCTATAGGATGTAAGAAATTTGGCAAAGCCGTTGCTAAAGACCTAGCACTAGGAGAAAACACTATGTTTGTAATGAATGTGGCAAAGAGTTTACTTGTTTCTCAAAACTCAACATTCACATAAGGGTTCACACTGGAGAAAAACCTTATGAGTGTAACAAATGTGAGAAAGCCTTTACTGATTCTTCAGGTCTTAAAAAACACAGGCGAACTCACACTGGAGAAAAGCCTTATGAATGTAAGGAATGTGGGAAAGCTTTTGCTAACTCTTCACATCTTACTGTACATATGAGAACCCACACTGGTGAAAAGCCTTATCAGTGTAAGGAATATGGAAAAGCCTTTATTAATTCCTCTTTCTTTAAAAGTCACATGCAGACCCACCCTGGTGTAAAGCCCTATGACTGTCAACAGTATGGGAAAGTTTTTATTCGATCCTCATTTCTTATTCATCATTTAAGAAGTCACAGTGCAGAAAGGCCTTTTGAATGTGAAGAATGTGGGAAAGCCTTTAGATACTCCTCGTACCTTAGTCAGCATAAAAGAACACACGCAGGGGAGAGGCCATATAAATGTCAAAAATGTGGGCAAGCCTTCACTGTCTCATCAGGCCATACAGTAGACATGAGAACTCACACTGGTGAATGACCCTTTGAATGTCAGGAATGTGGGAAATGCTTTACTCGGTCCACATATCTTATTCAACATCTAAGAAGTCAGAGTGGGGAGAAACCATATAAAGAATGTGGGTAAACCTTTAGTAATTCCTCATGTCTCACTGAATGTGTAAGAATTCACACTTTAGCTTATACTTGGAAAGACTGTGGTAAAGCCACTAATACTTCACACTTACTGAACATGTACTCATTCACAGTGGCAATGTACACAATCATAAGGAATGTGGGAAGCCTTCCTTGGTTTCACAGATGTCAACAATTCCAATAGAAGAGAAGCTATATGAATGTAAGGAATGTGGGAAAGTCTTGGCTCCTTCCATAGGCCTTACTTACTATTCATGTGTCTGTGCATCCTAGGAAACAAACAGAATATAGGAAACCGTCAATCATTGTTCACATCTTACTGAGTCTGAACTCATGCTGGAGAGAAATGCTATGAATGTGAGGAAGGTGGAAAAGCTTTCATTGTTTTCCTCAGACCTTGCTGAGCTTGTGAGCACACTGGATATAAATGCACATCCTCTGAACGTAAGGAATGTGTTGAAACCTTTTGCTCTCCTTATACCTTAATATTCAACTGTGATCTCACAAGTGTGAAAAAATCTAATGAATGTAAGATGTGTAGAGATTTTTCTCTGTTTTTAGCTTCCACTTTGTGAATGTGTCAAAGCACACTTTGAGAAGTCCCATGAATGAAAGAGATGTCGGAAAGCCCTTGATTGTTCTTGGCCATTAGTAAACATGATCCACACTGAAGAGGAACTCTGACTGTGTGGAAGGTCAGAAAGCCTGTATTAATTTACGTGCAAAAAGTCACACTAGAGGAATGCCGTACCAGAACCTGCGTTTGTAAATATACGTGTTTCAAAGATGTATATATTTTTAATAAAAATATCTAGCTGATTTGAAGATAGTGATCTTGATTGTTCGCAGTTAAAGATGGCACTCTTAATTATTTAGGGACTCCACTCTTTCCCCCATATGTCACTACTACACTTCACTAGACTTTAAAAAATATTTTAGGCTGGGGTGGTGGCTCATGCCTGTTATCCCAGCATTTTAAGAGGCTGAAGCTGGTGGATCATTTGAGGTCAGGAGTTTGAGATCAACCTAGCCAACAGGGTGAAACCCCGTCTCTACTAAAAATACAAAAATTAGCCAGGCATTGTGGTATATGCCTGTAATCCCAGCTACTTAAGAGGCTGGGGCAGGAGAATTGCTTGAACCTGGGAGGCGGAGGTTGCCGTGAGCTGAGATCATGCCACTGCACTCTAGCCTGGGTGATGCAGTGAGACTCCGTCTCAAAAACAGAAAAAAAAAAATTAAATATCCTAAAAGGGTTTTTTGTTGAAAAAGTATGTTACAAGAATAAGGAATTTAGGAACATCTTGGGGTACAAGTTTTCACTTTTTGCGTGCAAGAAAATTGGTACTGGCCAGGCATGCCGGTTCACACCTTAATTCCAGCAATTTGGGAGGCCAAAACAGAAGGATCACCTGAGCCCAGGAGTTCAAGACCAGCCTGGGCAATATAGTGAAACCTCGTCTCTACAAAGAATAAATAAAAGTAATCAGGCGTGGTATTTTGCACCTATAGTCTCAGCTATTTAGGAGGCTGGGGCGGGAAGATTGCTGGAGCCTGGTCAGGGAGGCAGAGGTTGCAGTGAGCCCTACACCCCAGCCTGGGCAACAGGATGAGACCCTGTCTCAAAAAAAAAAAAAAAAAAAAAAATTGGCGCCAGCAAAGAAAACCAAATAAATTATTTAAATAAGTTTGCCTTTGTGTGTGTCGTTAAAGACTGATGTTTCGTATCACTTTCATATGCTTATGAGTCTTTGGTGAAGTGTGCGTTTAATGATCCATTTTCACTTTTGCCGAGAAATTATTGAGACAGGTTTGAATTATTGAGACGGGTTCTTTCAGTAAGTTTATTGAGGTATAATTACCATGTAATAAGCTACACATATTTGAAGCATACAGCTTAAGTTTGGACACATACACGTGTGTACATACACACCATCAAGATAATGAACATACCTGTTAAACCAGGTGGCTTCCTCGTGCCCTTTTATAGTTTCTTCTCACCCTTTCCTGCCTATCACTCTACTGATCCACTGATTTGCTCTGTCTTAGAATAGACCACTTTATATTATATAGAGCTTTTATATAAATGGAATCATACAGTCTGGCACCTTTTATTCAGGGTAGTTTCTAGATTTATTTATGTTGTAGAGTCCATTTCACTGCTAAATACTATTCCAGTGTAAGCATACCACAAGCTGTTTATCCATTCATGTTATTTCTGCCTTTTGGCTTATTGCAGTTAAAACTGCCTTGAACATCCATATGCAGATTATTTTTTAATATATGCTTCTATTTAAGTAATTAAGTGGAATGATCACATCATATGTTGGTGTACATTTAGCTTTTTAAGAGACTGCTAACTGTATCAAGTGCTTGTGCCGTTTGACATTCCCATGAGCAGTGTATGAGAGTTGCAGTTCTTCTGCATCCTTGCCAATTACTGATATGGTCAGTCTTTTTTATTTTGACTATTTTAATAGGTGTGCAGTAGTATCTCATGGTTTTAATTTGCATTTCTCCAGTGACTAATGATGTTGTATGTGGTTTCACATGCTTAATTCTTTAAGCCTTTGGGGAAGTGTCTTCAAATCTTTTGCCTATTTGTATTGGTTTTGATCTTTACTTATTTATTTATTTATTTATTTATTTATTTATTAGAAGTCTTGTTCTTGTTCTCCAGGCTGGAGCACAATGGTGCGATCTCGGCTCACTGCTCTGCTCGACCTCTGCACCCTGGGTTCGAGCAATTCTCCTGCCTCCATCTCCTGAATAGCTGGGATTGCAGGCATCTGCCGTCATGCCCAGCTAATTTTTGTATTTTTAGTAGAGACAGGGTTTCACCATGTTGGCCAGGCTGGTCTCCAACTGATCTCAGGTGATCCACCTGCCTCAGCCTCCCAAAGTGCTGGGATTACAGGCGTGAGCCACCATGCCAAGCCTGAATTTTTTCTTTTTCCCCCACATAGAGACAGGGTTTTTCTCTGTCTCCCAGGCTGAAGTGCAGTGGCACGATCATGTGGTTTTGCAATTTTTACTGAATTTTGAGAGTTTAAAATTTTTAATGTATTTAATATTAAACCTGATAGTGTATTTGATCTATTAATACTTTAACAAAACGTACATTTAAATATGTAAGTACAAAACATTTTATTTTAACAGGTAACGTAAATACAGTTCCCAGCTTATGGGAGTTTGACTTAGTATTGTTTTTAATTCACAGTGATGCAAATACATTATGCATTCAATACATTTCTCAGTTTACGATGGGGTTACAAATTGTCAACTATAGTTTCAGCTTACAGTGGGTTTATCAGGACATAGCCCTGTTATAAGTTGAGGAGTACCTGTATTACAATATATTTAATTAATATGTTGTATTTCAGGACTAGTACATGATGCACTCTGAGTTAAAATCTTTATGTGGCCCAAAGATTGGATCAAAGTTTTGGGGTTTTTTTTTCTTTGTATCTAATGTGTTTAAAGGACAGCATCATTTGTGTTTGTATTTTTCAGTGTTTGGGTCTTTCTAGGCATTTTTTTCTCTGACATTATTGCAATTGGTATTTTAAAAATTTCAATTTCTCTGCTAGTTTACTACTAGTATAAAAGAATACAGTTTTCAAACATATTAATCTTATATGCTGCAACCTTCTCATTAAACCTATTCTGGAAGCTTTTTTTTTTTTTTTTCCTTTTTTTTTTCTGGAAGCTTTTATTAACGTTATACTAAGCTATACAATTTTATTCTTTTTTCTTTTTTTTTTTTTTTCTTTTTTTTTTTTTTTCTCTTTTTTTTTTTTCTTTTCTCTTTTTTTTTTTTTTTTTTTTTGAGACGCAGTCTCCCTCTGTCACCCAGGCTGGAGTGCAGTGGCATGATCTCAGCTTACCGAAACCTCCACCTCCTGGGTTCAAGCCATTCTCCTGCCTTAGCCTCTCAAGTAGCTGGGATTACAGGCATGTGGTACCATGCCCAGCTTCAGCCTATTGGTCAGGCTGGTCTCAAACTTCTGACCCTGTGATCTGGCTGCCTCGGCCTCCCAAGGAGCAAGGATTACAGACATGAGCCACCACGCCCCACCTCTTTTTTTGTATTTTTAAAATTAAAAAGAGATGGGGGTCTTGCTGTGTTGACCAGTCTTGAACTCCTGAAATCCTGGCCTCAAGCCATCCTCCCATCTTGGCATCCCAAAGTGTTGGGATTACAAGCATGAGCCACCACACCTGGCCACAATTTTACTCTTAAATGAAAATATATCTTTGATATTGTTGCCAGATTAATATTTGTCATTGTTTGTTTTTTGAGACACAGTTTTGCCCTTTTTGACAATGCTGGAGTGCAGTGGCACAATCTCGGCTCATTGCAACCTCTACCTCCCAGTTTCAAGTGATTCTTCTGTCTCAGTCTCCCAAGTAGCTGGAAATACAGGTGCCCAGCTAATTTTTTCATTTTTAGTAGAGGCGAAGTTTTACCATATTGACCAGGCTGGTCTCAATTTCCTGACCTCTGGTGATCCACCCACCTCAGCCTCCCAGTGCTGGGATTACAAGTGTGAGCTATGGGCACCCAGCTGCCAAATTAATGTTCGATTATATGTTGCCATTACAGAGTGATAACCAAGGACACCTTGAGGTTTAGGCATAGCTGTGGTAAAAACAGGTCTCTCCCTCCAACTTTGCATCTAAGTTGCAAAATAATTACATTGATGCTTTTAACCTGCCATATATAATTTTTCAATGTATTTGCCATTTAAGAACTCTGAGACAGCTAACATTTAAATAAATCTCTGCTGTTTGGGAATGATTGAATGAATAATATGAACATATTTGCTAATTGATACCATATTAAGATTCTAAATACAGCTATTTAATACATCTTGATAATTAGCATCTGAAATAAGTATCTTTTTCTGGGCAGCCTTTTGGAAAAAGTGCACTGGATAGAGTTTCCAGTCATATGTTTCTTTTCTAACTTGTGCTTACTAAACATCTCGTCAAGAGAGAGTTCAGTAGCACTTGAACCAGAAGTCCAGTGAATCTGACTTCTCCAGTCCCCAATTTTGTTTTGCACATTCACTTACAACCGTCATTTTTCTGCAAATTTTCTGCTTAGTCCATCAAAAATCAATGCTGTGAAAGTTTTTGAAAAGGTGCAGCAGGCTTTTGGAGTCTCTGAATGATAACAGCATTCTGTAAATCTGCTGCTTCCAGTGTGAATAGTGTCTAATCCAGCAATCGGAGGATAGTAAAAGCTGTTGCCAGGGAAAGGGGAGGACATCTTTGAGATCCTTGGTGTTTTTCTTTCTTTTTTTTTTTTTTTAATTTTTTATTATTTATTTATTTTAAGACAGGGTTTCACCATGTTGGCCAGGCTGGTCTTGAACTCCTGACCTCAGATGATCTGCCCACATCGGCCTCCCAAAGTGCTGAGATTACAGGCATGAGCCACCACGCCCGGCCTATCCTTGGTGTTTTTCAGTGAAGTCTTTGATACGGCTTACCCTTCCTGATTTGTGACCCTGTCCTGAAAAGAGCTGGAGGACAGGCTTCATAGACATGCATATTTCAGTTTTTTTGTCTTAAACTTTAACATCCACCTCTTCTTTATCAAAAATTCCCTGTAATTCTAGGGTAATTCACCCTTTTTGATGGAGTTCAAAAATTGCTGACTTGCCCTATTTGAATAACTTCTGAAATCGACAGTGAATCCATTTTCCCATAATTTTTATGTTTATATCTACCTGTTTCTTCTGTTCAGTGTGAGACAAGCATTTGTAACCAACCTTCTGAGTTTCATAAAAAAGGCTGTTAGCAAGATATTCACAATT